AGTTGCTCGATCGTTAACGAATCTCGCTGTCCACGTGGTCCCTTGGTCCCGCTGCTAATGAAGAGACATGCGAGTGTAGGAAATGCGCGTAGTTTCCCCGACTCTATAAAAGTCCGCTGTAAATCGCGCGGGGCTCGTGATTGCGTAAACACGTCGTACATCGACACGCAGCGCTCGGAGACAGTACGATCTGCATGTGCCGACACACATCTGCGAGTCACGCGTCTTTGCCGGTACGGCTCGTTAAGTTTTAACGCAGTCGATATGTCTGCGTCGCGAAATTCTCAGTCCCTGACAGAATTAATAACGATGCGTCCCGTTGGTGCGAATCGCGATGGGCAGAGAGTGCTGCGCGAACCTGTTAATGAGTCGTTAGATATAAACGTCTCAGGCGTGATGAACGGCGAGCGCGTGATTGCGACCGTCTCGCGACGGGCTCTCGCCGGAGCGGCGAATTAATTATAGCGCGTCAAATATAAACGCAATCATTTATTTCTGATTGGTCGCGCGCGTTGTGCACGTAATTGGAAAAGAATTATTAGATTAATTCGCGTTGTTCGCCGGTTGTCGATGCGTCACCGCAACACGTTTATTTGGGCCAAATTTCGCAAACGTCGGTTAACTGTTAACCGGAGCATAGTGTAACCACAGACTTCTGTACACTACTAGACCGCTACCTTCGTGCTGAAAAGCGCGGCAAGAGTTCCGCCATATTAGGTAAATAAAAAAGTAACGTGTGTTTATTTACCTAGCAAGACATGGCGAAACTCTTGCCTCACTTTTCAGCTCAAAGATAGCGGTCTAGTAGTGTATAGAAGTCTGTGAGCTAGTTGGTCCGCTCTCTGTCGGCCCTTTGATCTTTTCGGGCCCGATTACGTGGTACCTCGCCATGTCTTTGGTCCAAAACCAACGGCGTATGAGTGTATACGTACCATAGGCTTATATAGATAGACTGCGCGTCCTTATGGGCGCGCTGAAGACCACATTGAATGATAGAGGTATTGCGTGAGTGATGCTTTCTCTCACGCTTTTTGTTAAGAGTAGGGAAAAGACGACGCATATTAGACAAAGACACACTCACTCAAGCTAGAGACCCTGTAATCAGAGACTGGCCATAAGGGTCAAATTTCTGCAAGTGAGAAAGAAACATAGGCTATCTCACTCGCAGGAATTTGATGAACTCTTATGGCCAGTCTCTGATTACAATTGTCTCTACTCAGGCTATCGCTCTCTCTCTCGCATTTTAATAGAGTCTTCAATTCTTCTCACGGGACGCGCAGTCTATACAAATAGATTATACAAATAAGTCTATTATACGTACTGTAGTTGTACGCGTGGTAGTGTATCAAACATAGACTTATATACTAGACTGCGCCATCCCTATGGACGCGCTGTCCTAAACATTAGAGTGCAGACATATCAAACGAGTGGCGAGAAAACGAACAAGTCAGACAGAGACACATTGGCTCACTTCAGCTCTCCCTCTCTTTCTATTTCTTACGACCGACGCTTCCTATACGGATGGCACAGTCTAGTATATAAGTCTATGGTATCAAAGCTACACTGCCACACTTACAACTTTTCTCTCATTAGCTGGGCCAACAAAATGTCGGATGCGCAAAAGGGATCGACGCAAAACGAAACAAATGACGGAGTGGACCTACTAGTTATACTACGACCAGAGTTCAGTCAACTCCCTGTCTTTTTCTATCTTGTTACCTAAGACGAGACAGAGAACCACTTAACCTTCGGTTAACAGTTAACCGACGTTCCTGAAAAACTAGCCCTTGGCCTGTCACACTTTTCGGTAAAGTTAGAAACGCGTGTCTCTCGTCGAGATATATCGTCTGTTTTTTGAGCGTGGATAATATGTACCGCGTTACATACCGCGGCTGAATTAAAGTTACGTCTTTCGCGGCGAGTGCGGCAGTAATTAACTGAAATTTGAATTTTAACGACGAACTACGATGCGCGGTTTATCGCAGTCGTTGTTTTTAATTATGCCGTTACGTGTGAAAAATGAGCGGACTGCGCGGTTGCGGAGTGAAAAAGAATGACGCCCCGCGATGGGAAGCGTACGGAATGGCATTAAGCGCGGTTATACCCTGCCGTCTCTTTCTTCTCTTCTTCGAACGCTCCAGCCGAGCTGCAACAGTTGACACATTTCAGAGACGCGTACACGCCCGCGACACGCGGAGAAATCGCCGAGAGTTTTCGCAGCGACGCTGATCTCGTCGAAGAAACCTGAACGCAAATTCAGCAGGGCGTGGATAAGGACGAAAATTACTGCCTACATTAATCCACGTGTAATTCCGTCTTTTCGAAACTTTACCGATCATCCCCTATGCAATCCGGTAAATCTCGACGCGCCTTTACTTCGACGATACTTTCCCTCTGAAGCAACTCATAATCGTCCCTACACTTATACATTTTTCATCCCTAATTGCGTTAACGCGAAACGTTAGGTACGGGGCAGAACGCGTTACAATGATAACTAAAGTTTACTTAAGTATTATCTTACTTCAGCTATCACGTGGGTGTCGCATATGCGTGTATACGTGTGTACACGTATGGCCGCGAAATGCAGTACTCTGTAATTGAAGCTACAGCTACATGTGGGTCGGTTAAAATATGCACGCGCTGTCATCGCAGAGTCGATGTTTCTTTTATTTTCGTTTTGCTCTCCGCGAAACGCTGTTTTGTGCGTATCCGAATGAAAATGGGAGCTAGATGAAATTTCAACGAGAAGGGCGCGAGTTCCATAAAATCGAAAACAGCTCAAAGCGATTCTACGTCGTGCCGGTGATTAATATACATTTTATTGAAACTTTTATCAGCTGTTCATTCAGCTATTTGAGCTGGAAATTAATACAAATTAATACAGTACAAATTAATTAATATAAATTATTAATGCAAATTAATATGCAAATGCTGAGTAAAGGTATCTGCTCCGTGCTCGGTACGTTTTCGTTTCGTCTTCTTCGCGATATCTGATTGTAGCGCGCGAATAAGTAGCGCGCCTAGTTCGCAGACTCCGTTTCCTAAAGTACTTTTTTTTTAACGCCGGCATACTGATCGGTGAACTTTCTGAAACCTTGTATATTTTCACGAGAAAGTTCGAGATGTGTCGTTTGCGCCGAATGCCAAATATTGGCGTATTCCCGAGAAAATTCCCGACCATCTGTCTGTTTCTAGTATGGACACGTGTGCTCAAGATGCGTTAATAATTACTGTACCAAGTTTTCAAGAGAAGAAATATCATTAATGTTAAAACCTCGTGAAAAATTTAAAAGATGGTAGAAATGAGAAACTGCATATAGGGGAGATCGAGAGATAAAACTTGTATATAATATACTAAACAAAAAGTTCTCAAAAGAAAAAAATATCATTAACGTCGTTGAAAACTCATGACAAATTTAGAAGACGGTAGAAGTATAAATTAGAAACTGTGTGGAAAATAAAAAAATATATAATATGCTAAACAGTAGAGAGAGAGAGAGAGAGAGAGAGAGAGAGAGAGAGAGAGAGAGAAACACAAAGAGACGCTTACGAGCAATTCACAGCAATTACTAAATGTGTGCTGCAATTCATTAAAGCATTAATACGATCTGTATATTCAAAAAAGTATTGGAATAATACCAATTTCGACAATTTTATGTTGTACGTTTGCAATTATGCAAATTAATTCGGACTCTGCTCTTTTTCCCAAGTACAAAATCTGCTTTAATTCCCATATACCTATAAAGCTACTATTAATATTCTGCTGAAACCGACTACTATACATAAAACTCATTAGAATGTTGCATATTACATGACAGTTTTATGTATTGTCCCATTCTCTAATTTTGTAAATATTCAACGGGGTTCGTTATGCGTAGCAGTGCTTTTAAAAAGATGCAAAATATATTTTGATAACTGTACTGACATATATATATATACATATTCTTCTGACGTAATTCCTGAATTTTTCATAAAAATTCACGCCGGAGGCAGCCACCGCGAGCATCGCGTACACGGATTGTCGTAGACACGTCGACGTCGCGATTGTCGACGGGCCCTCACCTTTGCACAGGTGACTTGACTGCATCGAGTCACGAAATATTAATTGGAGGCTGGGGGAGGGAACGTACGTGCTCGGGACTTGAACGTAACGTAACAGCATACGGTAGTTAAAGCTACCGTAATATACCGTCGTTATTAGGTGCCTCAATAATTGCGCGTGCAATTAACGCGAATACATCGAATATTAGTGCATCGATAGTTCGAGAATCGTGATCCGTTTGAATTACTGGTCGTTACGGACCTGGATTTTCCCCAATATTTGAAATGGTAAGCTGGTAGATTAGTGCAACTGAAATATGCCGTTATATACGTATTGTAATGGTAATGTAACTGACATTCAATTACGCTAATATGCAAAATATACGAACAAAGATCCCAAGATAAGACGCGCGTATCGAAGCATTTATCTAGTGTGTAAATGATATATGTATTATTAAAACGCGTGTTTTTCTGTAGCGCAGTGGCAGCTTTTTCGTAGGAGCACTATTACAGGTACACGGAGAGAATTTTCTCTTAAAATTTACTCTCGAAAATCGTGTAATCGTGGGACAACGTGGCATTTTCAAAAATTTTATGAGAGTTGTTAAAATGTTTCCATACAGTCTACTAGTAAAATGTATACTTAAGCCCACGGCACACGATACTATTTTTATAAAATTCTTCGAAATGCCACGTCCCACGATTACATGATTTTCAGGATAAATTTTACGAAAAACTTCTCTCCGCGTACTATTACATTTGTCGTACGACAAGTTTTTTAAGCGTGTAGACTGGCTGCGAGATAAAAGATTTCTAGAAATACTCGAGGACTCTTCTATCCCGCGACCAATCAGCCACGCTTGAAAAATTTGTGGTACGACAAATGTAGTTGTCAAACTTGTAAAAATGCTTCGATATACGCGTCCGTCGTGGCGACGTGGATGCTGAGGGGCACTCACCAAAACAAATTATAAAACAGACAAGTGTGGGAAGAGAAGTAGACATCGCTTTTCCCCGGCGTGGCTCATTCACATACTGATATACTATCTCAGGCGCATCGCAGTCGTTTCCGGGAGACGCTAAACGGCGATAGAAGTGGATGCACTAACACACTCCGCGCATCGACGATCGCGGCATTCCTCGCACTATCTCGTTCGGAGCGGACAGAATCACTTCGTGCCACCGTACATCCCGTGCACAAGCACTCGCGCGCGCAACCCGGGATGCCCGTAATCTCCGCTTTACGTCGCACAAGTTGGGACGTGGCGTCTCAATTAGTTTTCCCTCGTCGATAAAATCCGAACGGACAGGCCAGGCCTCACTGCCTAATCAGTCGCTCACTATCACGAAACAATTCTACGACGATACCACATTCTCCCGATTACGGAGCGACGTCGCTAATCGCGGTAGCGCGGAAACGTATCGTGGCTTCTCGCGAGTCGCGAGTACCTTCGCGCGGACAGCCGCACCGGCCGCGGCGAACAACCGATGCCTTAATAATTAATCCGCTTCTCCCATTGATTATTCACGTCCGTCGATCGAGAACTGCTGTTGAATCACTGGCGATCTGCGAGCGACGAGACTTGTTCTTCTCGTCCTTTTACATCGCGGCGCGTTAACGTCAGTCGCGCGACGGTGATAAACTTCGACCTGACTATTAGGCCGCGCGTTTATCGGGCCCTACTTAGGCGATCTCCGCATCGCCGTTATCACTCGCCCCTCCGACGGAGACGATTCCCCTGTGATCCATGGTGATCGATGCGAGGAGAGAGCCGTTCTCCAGCCGACACTCAGCGGCGTCTTCGTATCTCTCGTTACGCCGACGACCATAAGATCGGCTGGCGATGCATTAGGCCGCGGTCGTCGTTATTAATGCAATCCACACGATGCGCCGGACGTTCCATCGATCATTCCGCACCACCGGCGGTTATTTGCCCCGCGCGCGCGGCTTCGCCCGCATTTTTCCGATCCCGCAATTTCTCTTCCTCAGGGGGGATCGAACGTGCCTCGATGGCAACCCACTAACGAGGAAGCAGCTCCGCTTCCTTCTTCCCTTATCCCGTTGTAGCTGTCGTTGCCACCGCGATTGGTCTATACGCTCGCTTTTCCCGCAAGCTCTGACGGACGGCCGCGCGGAATGTCGCTCGATTGCGCGTCGGCGGGAGACAGGCCGATCGGACTTTTTCCTCCCCGACCTTTCAATTGTGCGTCGACGTCGGTGTTGCGGCCGAAATAAACAAGCCTCCCTCGCACGATGGCAGCGTTGTGGCACCCGCGAGACCCCGTGTTTTACGAGCAGCTTTTAACTTTAACATCTCCCCATCAGCCGCCGCTGCGCGATTTCCCGCGGCGTGAAACGCGATTTTTTTTTCCACCGCGCCTTCCCTCTCGCCGTCCGTCCGTTTCGCCTCCGCGCGTCCTTAACGCCACCGGCAATTAAACGCAGACCCTCGAGAGACCCCGTCGACGACGTCCTTAAACGTTCAGGGATGACGCTCCTGTCACGAAGCTGGGAGCTGCTTCTCGCGAGATTTGTGTTCGGCAAAGCACTGCAGGACGGAATTCGCGACGAAATTCGCATGCGTATCTGCGATCGATGTGATCTATCTTCTTATTTGACGGATTGGTAACGCTCCTTCTTCGTCCTCCTCAGCGAAATTTGTAACAATTTTTCGAGCGGGCAGTGAGAGGTTTATTGCTCAACAAGTACTCGGCCACTCCCGCGACAACGAGAGGTTCGCGGTTATCTAAATTCTTCACAGTTCCAGAACGCCCGGCGACGCTCCGACGGTACCTCCGCGTTCTCCACCCCGATCTCGCGGCAGCCTCGATCATTCGTCCGATACTGTTTCCCGACACTGCCTCACTGTACCACCACTGTCACTTCGTCATCGTGGACCACGTAAAGATACCAGGGAGATTACGCACAGTGCGTCACGCACTATCTCGCGCGGCGCGCTGCTCCGTTCCGGGCTACGCGCGCGAACGGCCGGAAAAATCGTCGTCCACGGGCACGGACCGGAGGGTTGAGGGCCGGAAGCAAAGTAACAATACGCACGTAAAGTATCCGCTAATTCCGGAGAATCGCACGGGGACGGAGGGGCTGACGGGTCTTCATCGCTGCGCACGATTCCGCGAAAGGGGTTCCTCGGGAACGCGGCCCCTCTCGCGCGTACTTCGCCCCCTCGACACCACCGGGAACGCGACGCGACGGGGAGAAGGTCGCGGGCTCTTTCGAAACGGCGATGCTCCCGCGTCGACGATAGCCGAGGGACTACATTGCGCGAGCGCCACTCGGGCGTCGAGCACGCAGCCGCCCCGTTCGGCCCGCGGAACTGCGCCTGTGTGCACCTGCGGCTACCTGTGTCGGTGGCCGTGCGTGTGTGTACGTGTGTTGCGTGTGTGCGCGCGCGACTTCCTCCCCGTAGCTCGGTTGTATATCAGGCCGTTTCCCCACCCCCGCGAGAGAGAGAGCCGCCACCCTTTTACCCCGTTGCCTATCTCGCGCGCATCCCCCCCTTTTCCCCTTCTTCTCCTTCTTCTTCTTCCTCTTCTTCCTCATCTTCTTCTAGTTCTTCTTGTTTTTCTTATTCTTCTCCTTGTTCCCTCGTCGACCTCTTTCCTCATCTCCGCTCCCTTCCTCGCGTTCTCCTTTTTTCCTCCTCCTCCTCCTCCTCCTCCCCGTCGGCGCCGGGGAAAATCGCGGCCGCGGTCCGATAAGGACGCGAAAAAGCGCGAATCCGGTTATAACTTATGGCCGAGATAATTAAAAGGAGTTACAGAACGATAATGGAGTGCCACCCTTGTCATCTTCTTACGCGACCTCCGTGCACCAGTGAGAGCTGATCGTCGGCTATCCGTGCTGACTGGTGGTCGCTGAGGATCACCCGTTTCTTAGGTCAGGTCTCATCGCCAACTTTCCGACTCTTCTCGCCCGACGCGACCCCGAAGACGTTCCGTCATTCGCGAACGCTCGGCGAGAAAGCCGCCAGCCCGCGCAGATAACGGCGGATAAATGTTAAAGTACCCGAACGCTTAATTTTATCCTTACATCTCGTCTCGGTTTTCTTTTAATTTCTTTTCTCATCCTACCCTCCGATTTCTCTCCGATGTTTCTTATGCATTCCCTGAGCGGCTTCAATTATCTTCGCGAGTCTTGACGAAGAAATGAACGGTGTGTCATGTTCCTTCCCAGAACGCTGAAACACGTTGAACGTGCAAAAGGCGGGACGGAATTATCATGTTTCAGGCGCGCGTGTTAAAGACCCGACGAGATCCGCTCGGTTCGGTTGCACCGCAGTCACGTGTCACCAGCTATACCGGCCACATCGGAAAGCCACCCCGTGGAAAGATCAATAGGCATATCCCACGCGTCTTCGGCGTTCCGAGAATACGCCAAGAATTCCGAGAATATTCCCATGCCGCCTGAGGAAAATTAACCGAGCGACCCGGGATCTTCGTCTCTTTACGATATTGACTGGCGATTACGGGCAAGATCGGATCCCGAGGACCCCCGGAGTCCCCAGGATGAATTTTGCATTCCGTCAAGGGTTCTCGTTAACGGCGTGAGAACGCGAACACTCGCCCGTGGATTATGGGTCCCTCGTAAGAATCTATAAGCAATGATACGATCCGGCGAGATAAATTGGTGACGCGATCGCCCTCGCAGCAACCCTTGCAAGGCGCAGAAGCGCGGATCCTCGTCTGCACGCCGGGCCTTGTATCTTAATTGTCCTCCATCGGGTATCGATTACCGACGTACGACGATTCGATGCACCGCGCGTGCTAAGATTAATTGTTATATCGATCTGCCATGAATTTTAATGCGCGCGGAACTCCGCGGAGTAGTACTACTTGATTAGCATTCGCTTTGTCAGAGGTAAGAGCACATTACAGCGCTTCCCGCGACGTGTTGTGAATATTGTCGTCGACTTCAAGTGGATGTACCTTTCTACCTCGACTACTTCCTCTTGCGTCTCGCGAATAATTTCGCCGCTTTGTTTCGCCGAATCATTGCTTTAATTACGTCCTCAAATTGATCGATTAAATCATGTTTCATGTCCGTTAAAGAGATAAATCGAGTTAAGCGAGAAACTCGTTAATTCTTATTAAGCGATCCAATTATTCCGTTTTAAAAATCGCGCACTCTCATATATTTATCGGGGAGGATAATTTAAAAAATTGTATTTTTAAACATTCGCTTCCTATTACAGCGCGACGACATTTCATTTTATAATATTTTCAATCGTAGATTCTAATATTGTATATAAATTCCGTATTGCAATTTAATAAATTTATGCGTTTTAAAATTACAACGTACCTTTGTGTGCGTTTACATTAAAATGCATCGTTAGTTATAAATTTTGTGATCATGGAGATGCACATGTACAGACAACCTTAAACAAAAAAATATCGCTGATAGCTCCATGAGAGAGAGATTCTCTCGTGGATTTTGCGTACGGCTTTTACAGCTCGCACGGCTCGATTGTTGTCAATGGCGAGCTTATCGTTGACAAAGGCACGACCCATACCGACAGATCGATGGTTATATTTCCACGCACGTGAATTTCGAAAACGTCCGTCACGATTTATCATCTGACACGCGGTAACCAAACCAACTCGTCCAAACCCGCGAATATTTGCGATATTTAAATCTACGGACGCATGTCATTACATCATTCACGCGCGTTATACCGTAAAAACCGATATTCGCGGCAAGAATGAAAATTCGAAGCCGCAATGTATAAATTTCAATTCGCGAGCAAACCTTTGTCGCCCCACGAGAAGGTAGTAAATGCATCGTGGCTTTGAGATGCAATTTTCACGTCCCCCGCCAAAGGATCGCCGGTACAGCGCGGGATACCAATCAGCTTGGAATTCACGGCGGAGTCGTGCTATCCATCCGGCTCAATAGGCATTTACCTGACATTTCCGAATACCAAGGGTATAATTCCAAGGACCGTCTGTCCAACGACGCGATGTGCGAAGCGTCCCTTCCCCAACTTTCATACTTCGGGCTGGTGGTCAAGAACCGCCGTGATCGACTGGCGAGTCACGACGGCGCGGCTATGAAGAGAGATCAATAGGCGGCACGTCTCTGTGCGCTCCAGATTCCACGAATGTTCCGAACAGCGCTTCCCTCCATCTCGATCCTTCACCAAATTATGGATACAGCGCCGAGCGAAGTGGGCCCTTCTCGTCAAGGGAGCAGCGTGCGCCGGCTACGAGACGCGGGCGAAGCCTCTCGCTGCCGATTCCAAACTATTATCGTCGACTCTAATGCGATCCCTAATGCGACTCTAATGCTTCTGCCGCCTCTTCGTTGTTTGACGCCGGCGATAGTGCGCGTTGTAGGATTTCAAGCTGTTCCTCCATCGACGCACACTTGCGCATCTTGATCTGGGCGCAATTGGTCGGTGAAGATACAGCATTACGTTGTTTTACTGCTATTAATTCTACCTTAAATACTTTTTCACTTGGCTTGGCAGGGAGTAAAAGTTGTTTTATGACTACATTTTTTAACAAAACGTTAACGTGACCCTCGCAAATCGAGCGACGTTAAAATTCAAGTAATCATTATTTCTCTTTTCGAGCCCTTAACTGCTGTAAAATACGAGAGTGGATTCTGCACGTGAACGTAGTGCGAATCTCTCTCGCACCGTCGTGTGTCAGTTGTATTCGCAGCTATCACATCGGGCCATCTGGGACGTTTAAGGATGATCTTGGTCGCTCTGGGGAATGTTAATGGAATATCTCAGAGATGTCTACATATCGTAGCGCAATGTGCTCTCGGTTAATCTTGGACAGATTTTACGCGCTCTGGGGACGTACGAAATGTCCCGTGTCTTTCTACTTGAGAGACTGTACTTGAGATTCTTCCTATTCTCTTCGAAATAAAATGCGCGAAAAACGGAGCGGCGTGTGTGTACATTGAATGGAGATCCGAAAATTTTTGTCTAGAACGAAATATCTCGTTGGTATGTCTCTGCACGTGCCAGCAGGTAAACCGAGACTACGTATAGAGCACATACGAAACCCACAACCTCGACCGCACATTTCTCTCTCTCTCGCTCTCTCACAGGGAATTTCGACGTTTGTAAAATAGCGTTTATTCAAATGATTTGTTTTACGAAATAATTGACGTTTCGTTCCGTGCGGATTAATTCAGCTGAAAATTGTTCTGTACTAATTACTGATAAATATTGTATATCCACTGCGAGAGACGCCGTTTCCCTAAAGTGATTGACGCACATAGAGTGCGCAGCAAAAATGAAATCGGGGATGATTCGTCCAAGGGAGAGATGGAGTTTAAGTAAAGTAAATACGATGTCAGTTCCAAAGGTGCTTTCGAGTTAGGTGAGAACAAGTTTTACAAGACGACATTTAGCGTTTTTGCGAAGAAAGAAAAATTGCATGCAGATAGAGGGAGGAAATATGTTTCGCCGCGTATCCTTGGTATTTGGCCTGTCGACCAGAAGTGGACTGCAAATAAAGAACGGGCGAGCGAAAAAAAAAATCGGTAAAAAGTTTCCATATTCTCTTTGCCCCCGTGCAGCTTTTAATACGTCAGTTTTATACTTGCCGTAACAGCATCTTTCTTTGATAATTTTTCAAGGTATTTTACGCGTTGTAACATCGTTAACGTTCTACTGTCATCGCGTTGGGGAAACAAAAGCCGTGCCATTTCCCTTATGTAATAGGTGCGCATCCATCATACCGTTTGCATGTCCCATTGAGTATTTACATCGCCAAAAGTTCGTAAGTGACCCGATCCGTTTCAGACCGTTGGCAGTGAAACGAAATCTCGCGAATCGTTTCACGAGAGTTGCCGTGTATGCCCGCGACCCCGATACTAGATCATTCATTTTTCTTATCAGCGTCGCGCACAAGCTGATACACCCGCTTCCGCCGAACGTCGCGCAAACGTAATCCGCAGTCTCCATCCATTGTGACGAGACGCGTGGACCAGAACGGAGGTACGGGGAAAGGCCGCGGGCGAAAGCCATCATCGATCGTGCGCCGCAACGAACGAAATGGCACAGTGAGCCACACGTAGAGAGGAGAAAAAATAAGTAAAAAAAAAAAGTTATGGTGCACGCCGGCGAACGCGCGGGTTGCACCCTTTGCTCCGGAGATGACGGCGAGGACAAGGGTGCGCATATATCGAGGAGTCCGTGCACGCGATGCACACAGTCCGCGCGCGTAGATATGCACGAGCAGCAACGTGTACGTGACGCGTTCAATTTAAATTCAAGACACCGACACGTATC